TTTTATTGTTTTTATTGGTCAATAGTCCTCCAGAATGCGAAATAAAAGGATTGTTGTATTCTCTTCACCGCTTTTATTTTTTTGGGTGTTTGTTTTGGCAATATGCAAACAGTTATCAATTGTTGATATAATCAAATAGATTAAAATTTTGAATTATAAATAACAATAATTATTAACCATTATATATCTATTATTAGCTATTAATTGCATAAAAAAAGCTAATCCAAACAACCTATTCACCTATAGACATAATTTAGCTTAGTTTTTTGCTCATGATCCCACCCTTAATTTATTAATTAATTAGTTCAATTTTCATATATAATTTTTAATGAAGCTAATTTCAGATTATAACATTTGTCTTGAAGATTAAAGTTATTGATTGGTTTGCTTGTAAGTATTGCTGTTGTATGCTTCTTATTGCAATCATTATCAGAATAGTTATTATGTAAATTGCAGAGCTTTACCTTGTAAGGAACCCGCTTGAGGAAAACCTAAGTGTAAGAGAGCGTTTGGAAACAATTTTCAACCAGCAATAGACACACCTCAGTTAGAACCTCACTAGTTGCATCATTAACGGAAATGCAAAGATGCTCTTTACGATAGGTGGCCCTACTTTTTGTATTGTGGTTGGAAGAGTGCGTTTTTCTTCAAAGTTGTTGTGGGACTCGGGTACCAAGTAGCTAGCTAGGTATGAAAACTCTATCACTGGCCTTTGTTAATTTTGTTTACTTTGAAATGTTGTTAACAATAAATCCAGACATGAACTTTGTTCAATAACATTAGTTAGAAGAAGGTTCAATGTTAGTAAGTTGTTAAAAGAGAACGCATTTAGGTGGTTAAAGGAGTTCCGTCTAATATACATCCACTATATCTATAAATTTCTAAACTAATCCTATGGCATCATGCTTCTAAAATATGATCTAATAGACATGATCATTTTACGACGTTTTTCTTACGTTTGTAAAAACTTTCAACAAAGAATTGGTGGGGCAAGCCAGGCCCTTGCTATAGTGCAAGGCATGGGCGACTCTTGAGGACCCCAATAGCAAGCTACTACAATGGATCCTCCCCTTAAAAAAGTTAATTTAACATCATGTGAATCAATGACTCACGTATCAGATATTAAACTGATAAGAACAGATACTACACTTGATCTTAGCCAAAAGGCCGAGAAAGGTATGACTGTTACATTTTTCTAAGTTTACTTTTATAATGTGTCTAAGTTATGTCGATCTTTTGCATAGCCGATGTGGTATTTGCATTAAGGCTAGCATGGATAGCCCATTTAAAGCACAGCAACCTTTTTCAAAGTGTATTAATTGCGGCATTACAAGTGCATTATTTTAATTGGGTGATCTTATTATTACATTTTTAATTATTAATACTACACATTTTTATTTTAATTGATTATTCTACTCTTTAATTTATTAAGAAACAAAAAATATAAAATTTTAAGAAAAAAGAATAATGTGAGGGTATAATAAATAATTACATAAAAAAGTATGGTATTAATTATTTAGGATATGACAATAATGTTACCCATTTTAATCTAAATCTTTAACTAAGAATTGTATGGCTTTACGTTGAAGGGAATTGTATGGCTTTATATTGAAGGGAGTCCTTTAGTTATATTAAATTTATATCACCTGTCTTGATCACATGGAGAGTGTTGGTGTAGGGAGAATGTCCTTAGTATTCCTCTATGTAGCACGTATAAAACAACCTCTGCATGCATAAAGATACTATTCCTATCAAGAAGATAGGATATCTAATAGGATAGTTGAAAAAATCTTTCGAAAGAGAGACGGCCAGGATGAATTGGTTAACCCATTGAAAGTCTTAAACTTGAATTGTTGAGCTCATCCAAAAAAGGAGAGCTCTCCAGAAATTGGCGTATGCCACTGAATGCTGCGTGCACACGGTATTCTTTAGTAAAAGGCGAAAGAATAGTTCGCTTTGTGCTCACTGCATGGCTGCGTGCTTAACAAAAGCGGGGAGGTGGTTTTAATATTTCCTTTTGAACCTTGTGCTTTCTCATTCATGTTCAGTGTGGGATAAAGTTTCCGACATCTAAAGATAAAATTCCCTTTTCTATTTGCGGAACCTATATTTACAACACAAGACTAGCCCAGCTTAATTATATATATTTCGATGGGAATTCGTGAATCGTGGCTCCAGTATATAGTAATTCAACAAATACTGGAATCATAAACATATTAATCTATGTGTCGTTGTTAGGAGTTATTGTTCCTTCATTAGCTAGCAAACAACACAATTAACTGCGGGGAAGCTTGTTGTTGCGAATTCCATTTTCTTATGCCCGCTCCAATTAATAATATCACTCATTACAAAACAAGACGAAAAAAAAAAAAAAAGAAATTAAAGTAACGTGCATGCATCTCAAATCAACAAATATTTTGTAAGGCATTTCCAGAAAGCAATGCTTGATGAAAATTAACGAGACTGCACTTTGTTCCATCTTCTTGGCTGTAGATTGGGCTTAATTTTTACTTTGGAAATTAAGGTACGTTCAGCTAGAACATAAAAAATGGGAAGGTGTACGTCCATCTCTATGCATGATAAACACTTGGCCAAAACATATACAAAACGTAAAGAAGCATGTATGTGATGTCCTCTCGGCGGCCTCTATATGAAGGGTTTCACAACAAGAAAAAAATTGGACATAGCCGGTGAAATTGTGAAAGTCCTCT